CCACCCACCACCCACCACCCACCACCCAGGCAGCAGGCTGTTTCCGTCCCCTGTAGGGTTACCTTGACAGTTAAGTGCTTAATAGGGACGTCGGCAAAGGGGCTCCCAAAAGTAGCGTTGAGCACGCGAGTGCCGTCCGTGCTGATCGAGACCAGGTCGCTCAGAGGCACGCTGTACCCCACTCGGAAGGTCACTGACCAGCCACCCAGGAGCGGGTACCGAGGCTCGATCTCCAGCTCGGCCTGAGAGGTTCGGGACAGGCATGGGGTTCGGGGATAGGCATGGAGGTCAGGGGCAGGCATGTGCATGTAGATACATGGTAAGAGTGATGTATGGTGAAAATGATAAGTGTAAGCTTCTGATAAACATCACTGCATACACCCTGAACCTTAAACTTACCATTATCCCATCTATCCCGTTGCCCCATCCCCCAAAGACGTCTGTACTACACCCGATGCGCACCTTCCTATGCGGATATTGGAGGTGCGAGCTGGAGATATCCCAATCTCGCCTTTGTAGTACACCGAGTTGGCCCTCTCTGGCAGCCCCGCCACGAGCCCACCATTAAACCCCCGCTAGGCTAGCCCACCACTAGCACCCACCAGCACCCACCAGCACCCCAGCACACACCTTTCTGTGCGGGTACCGCAGGTGAGAGGAGGAGATATTCCCAATCTCGTCTCTGTAGTACACCGTGTTGGCCCTCTCTGGCAGCACCGCCATGAGTCCGCGCAGCGAGGACACTCCGATCGCCATGGGGCGGTGCTGGTAGTCCAGACTGGGGGGATTTAGGGGGGGGGGGAGGGGGGGAGAGGAGGGGTTGGAGGGAGACGGGATGGTAGTGAGGGGAAGGAGGAGGCGTGGGGGTTAGGTCGAATCGAACGAGCCCCTCTCTGGCACACGGCCATGAGTCCGCACAGCGACACACTCCGATCGCCATGGGGCGATGCTAGTAGTCCAGACTGGGGGGGGAGGGAAGTGGGGATGAGCGGAGGGGGGGAGAGGGGAAGAGGACCGGGATGTGGGGGGGCGGGATGAGCCCTCTCTGGTGGCACGGCCGTAAGTCCGCGCAGCGACCACACTCCGATCGCCATGGGGCGGTGCTGGTAGTCCAGACAGTGTTATTGGGAGGGGAAAGAGGGGAGGGAGGGGCCAAGGGGGCGTATAGGAGGAGGAGATGTCTGGTTTGAGTCGCCCCAAGTGAACCGCTCTCTGGCAGCGCCGCCATGAGTCCGCGCAGCGACGACACGACAATGGCCTGTGGACGGTGCTGGTAGCCCAGGCTGGGTTAATGGGAACGATCAAAAGAGAGGAAGGGGGCGAAGGGGGCGTATAGGAGGAGATGTTTGGCTTGAATCACCCCAAGTGAACCCCTCTCAGGCACCGACTCCTATGGCCATGGGGGGATGCTGAGAGGAGAAATGGGGAGGGTTCGGTGGAGAGGGGGGTACCGGCGGGGGAAGAGCGGGCAACAGGGGCGAGTGAGGGAACCTGAGCCCCTCTCTGGCAGCATTGCCATGAGTCCTCTCTAAGTCCTCTCTACCCCTCTTACCGCGAGAACATGCTCTTGTGCTGGGCGCCCGAGTGCACCAGGTGGTAGCCCTCCGTGACATAAACATTCTCCCAGTGCGAGATCTTGTAATCCCGCTCCGCCCGCTCAAACAGCGGGAACGGCCGGTTATTCTCATAGTGCACCACCAGCGGCGACACCTCCCCTCCCCGCCCCCCTGGCCCCTTATGTGCCCCACTTACCGCGAGAACATGCCCTTGTGCTTTGCGCCAGAGTGCACCAGGTGGTAGTCCTCCGTGACATACACATTCCCCCAGTGCGAGATCTCGTACTCCCGCTCCGCCCGCTCAAACAGCGGAAACGGCCGGTTATTCTCATAGTGCACCAGCAGCGGCGACACCTCGCCTTTCTCCACCCCTCATACGGCCCGAGCTTAATCTCCGAATCCGTCTTCCTGGAAGGTTCCTTCGCCGTGAAAGACTCGATCTGGTGGCTCGGGAGGCGGATAATAGTGCTCTGGGACCGGACCGGGTACGGCGACGTGAGGTAGTGAGAATCCTCGAAAATAACCAGCTGAGGGTCGGCTTGGGTGATCTCAGCCGGGTGGGGCGTGAGCGCGTTGATCACCACGAAATAGACCTCCACCTGGGCGGTTTTCCCCGGCTCCAAAGGCGTCGGGAGCTGGGCTTCGAAGTAGACGCCATTCTCGACGGCGTATGAGGGGGTGATGGGAGTGAGGGGGAGTTCCTGGAAGGTGCGACTCTTGACCTTGCCCTGCAGGAGCACGGCTGTGGCGAAGGCGAGGCGGCCGGGGGAGGCACGAGCAGGGCGAGAACGACCGAGGACGCTGGGGATGTGCCCGCGTTCTCCACCTGTGGGGAGTGAGTGGGAGGGTGGAGAACGGACAAGGGTTATAAGAAGGGACTGGGAACGGTGCGGAGTGAGGGGCTCTTGGCCTTGCCCTGCGGGAGCACGGCTGTGACGAAGGCGAGGCGGCCGGGCGGCGGGACGAGCAGGGCGAGAACGACCGAGGACGCTGGGGTTGACCCGGCGTTCTCCACCTGCAGGGAGGGGATCAAGACAGATTGGGAATATACTTGGGTCAACAAACGCAGGCGAGGCGGCCGGGGGGAGGCACGAGGAGGGCGAGAAAGACCGAGGACGCCGGGGTTGACCCTGCGTTCTCCACCTGAAGAAGGGGGTTTCAGAAAGGGGATCGGAAAAGGGACGCTAATCTGAACAGCGACGCTCGGAGGGACTGGCTGGAGTGAGGTATTGGGAACGGCGGATGGATGGTCGAGAGAAGTCTATTTTTGAGCCGCCTCAAAACCCATGCGTGAGGAGTCTATTTTTGAGGCGCCTCAAATATAGGGAACGGCGGATGGATGGTTGAGAGAGAGAGAGAGGATGGAGAACGACAGACGACCGATTAACACTGATAAACACCTGGACATAAAAACAGGGCACAGCAGACAGCACGGCAGCCAGCACAGCAGCCAGCACGGCAGCCAGCACAGCAGCCAGCACAGCAGCCAGCACAGCAGCCAGCATCAGAGTGCTCATGGCATGTGCGTCTCTCCACGTCAGCAGGGCGCATTCAGCGCCCTGCCGTGTCGGAGCCCTTGCGCAAAACATCATGAGTATCATCATCTGCTGCCACGCGTGCATTCGCTGCCGTCAGAACTAGGCACACATGCATGCATGCGTGCGTGCATGCATGTGTGCATCAGAGCCCAATGAACCGAATGAGTCTATTTTTGAGTCGACTCAAAAATATGCATGCATGCATGGGTGCATCAGGCATCAGAACCCAATGAAGCATTCCTAGCATTCCTAGCATTCCTAGCATTCCTGACAATGCATCGGATCACTCCACCTTGACCGTAGGCTGTGACTACGTGACAGAAGATTGTTTTGAGACGTCTCAAAACAAATCTTCTATCACGTGGCCTTGCATCGGATCACTGTACCTTGTCCGTCGGCTATGACTACGAATCCACGTGGCGGATCACTCCACCTTGTCCGTCGGCTCTGACTACGAATCCCACGTGGCGGATCACTCCACCTTGTCCGTCGGCTCTGACTACGAATCCCACGTGGCGGATCACTCCACCTCGTCCGTCGGCTCTGACTACGAATCCCACGTGGCGGATCACTCCACCTTGTCCGTCGCCTACGACTACCACGTGGCGGATCATCACCCAAATGTCTCACCTTGAGGGTCGCGGAGTTGCGGACGAGATGCGTCTGAAGGTCGATCTGCAACACAGAACACATCAGGGGAAAAAGAGGAAGAGAACGGGCAGGAAACAGGAAAGAAAAAGGAAATTTAGGGATCAGCCATGGTGTCAGCGCGGAAAGCATAATGGAATGAACAGTAATGAGTCGGCTCAAAAGCCGACTGGATTCACTTGGTAATCTAGATCCGAAGGGTTGGCCGCGTGAAATTTACTGACGTTGACATTGAGAGACGGCGGCGAGGAAGAAAGAAAGCAAAATCCGGCTAAAACGTAAGTCAAAGGCGTGACACGTGAAGCGCTGAACCGCGTGTAAAAGTATCCTAATGAGCGACAATGCAAAATTTTCTGCCGGAATCGCATCGCACCCTTGCCAAGCGACAAGTCAGATCCATCGATCGACCTTAAGCTGCGGATCTCAAAAATAAGGATCATCGTATACTCAGACCACTTGAGTCCGAATCTTAGATTCGGACGGAATGCGAGTGGCGACATCCCGCCGTGTTAACTCAAACTTATATTCCGACCACCTTGATAATGAGCATTTCGCACCTTACGATCTGCACGGACGAGGTAACTTCTGAGTCGGCTCAAAAGTCACCAGTGGCGAGAAAGGCCGGAATGTCTCAAATGCTTCAAATGCGATTTCAGAAACGAGCATCCCGCACCTTACGATCTGCACGGACGATGCCCAGAATTTCGCTCGCTCGATCGCTCGACAGATACACGCGAGCGGGAGCAGAACAAGAGCGAAAACCGCGAGGACGGGGTGACTAAATGATTCCTCTGCACGATTTCAGAAAAGAGCGTTTCGCACCTTACGATCTGCACGGACGATGACCAGATCGCTCGCTTGGCAGACGCACGCGAGCGAAACCAGGACCAGAGCGAAAACCGCGAGGTTACGCGCGAATCGAACCCCGACGGCGCCTAGAGACGCCATAGCTGCGGCTGCTGGAAGGGAACAGCAACCTAGGCAAGGAGTCACCTGATCTGGCTATTGCCAATGTCTCGTCAATCACTAGGGAAGTCGGAATCTGGGATCTGGAGGATAGGAGGAATTTGCAGACTAGAGGCCCGGAAGAAAAGAATTTGAAGGTGGGGAGGGTGAGGAGAGAGTCAGGGGGTGCGGCTTTGTTGTGGCTGGTCTTCATGGGGGATTACAAACGCGGATAGTTTAGACGAGAACTTAAACTAATCAACAAGTCTTGTATACTTGTTCTCACTAAAAGGGTTTGGTTGGTTCCACTCAACTAGATATAGCTACACATAGACATGCATTTAGTTTTGGAGATAATATATCAGATGCTTCGTTAAATTGTTCCTGTAACCCTAAAATTATCTATGTTAGCCTGATAGGTTGACCTTCTAAACTCGGCACCCACTTTCCAGGCACCCATGCACCATCAGCATTGCGATAGCCACCTTGATCCAATATATGCAACCAGTAAATGCTAGGCGGGGCAATGCTGCCATTAGGTGGCGCTCTTATAGATGCCGTAACAGTTTGATTATCCGGCGAAATCCATATTGCGGATATTTCGAGCAGCACGTTACGCATACCCATCCGTTGGCTGTGCGTGGAAAAACCCGGATGGACGAGCACGGCTCGGAAGCGGTCGATAAGGCGAGAGAGCGACGGGGGAGAGACCACAGTTGTGTTGAGTCGGACGGAGAAGAGGGAGTTCAAGGCAATTGTGGAGGGCAGCTGAAGGGTGGTAGGTGGAGGGAGGGAGAAGAACAACAGGGATAAACACCGTGGACAAGCACGGCTTGAAGGCGGCTGATAATGCGAGGGAGCGAAGGGGATCGGCTGCCGGCTCGAGGCAACACAAACTGCAGGAAATGCCTGAAGGATTTGATTTCCCTATTCCTTCTCACCCCAACCCCACCCCCCAGGCCACAGTCAGCCTCAGAATCCCCCCAATTACCCCTAAACTGACACACCCATATTCATTTTCCCCCCACTCACTCAACTTGGCCCATAAAAGAAGCTCTAGCTCTCAACACTAGCCTTCCATAAAGTTCCTTGGCAAACCCCACTGCAGATATCGCAGGGCAAACCCCACTGCAGATATCGCAGGGCAAACCCCACTGCAGATATCGCAGGGCAAACCCCACTGCAGATATCGCAAGGCAAAACACATCCCCTTTGCGTAGTTACCAACTCGATCTACCTCTCCCCTCTGGCAATTATACCCGACCTTGCTTCTCAACTCACCCTCCACAGGATGTTTCTCGGCACCCCCACTGCAGATACGGCGGGGCAAACCGGTCAACAGCAAATTGAGTAGGGTAAGTTCCCCTCGTGGTGAGGCGGTCGTTGGGATTAGACCCGGAAATTAGCACGGAGCCGTCCCAGAGCAACAGGGCGGAGGAGTGGTACATGCGGGCATAACGGCTGGACTCCGGTACCTGCCAGAACCTAAGGGGATGGGAGATGGGGGAGGGGGGAGGCCGGAGAAGAGGGATTGTCGAGGTTAGACGTCAAAATCAGCACGGTGCCGTCTCAGGGGAGCAGCGCGGAGGAATGATACATGCGGCATAGTGGCTTGACTCTTGAACCTGCCAGAACCTGCGGCAAAGGGAGGGAGGAGGGAGGCGGGGAGACGTGGAAATGAGCACGGAACCATGCAGAGCAGCAGGGCGGAAGAGGGGTACATGCAGGCATAGCGGCTAGACTCGGGTACCTGCCAGAAGCTGTGAAGGGGGAGGGAGGAATGAGAAGGGAGACAACGGGGTTCCAGCAGGGTGATGGGGGTGACTGAAAGGAGAAAGAGCCGTCCTAGAGCAGCAGGGCGGAAGAGAAGGGGCTGTCGAGGTTAGGCAAGGAAATGAGCACGGAGCCGTGCCAGAGCAGCTTTTGAGTCGACTCAAAAGCAATCCCAGAGCAGCAGGCCGGAGGAATGGTACATGTGGGCATAGCGGCTGGATTCCAGCACCTGCCAGAACCTAAGGATGTGGGAGACGAGGGAAGGGGGACGCGGGGAGAGGAGGGGTTGCCGAGGTTAGACGAGGAAATGAGCATGGAGCCATCCCAGGGGAGCAGAGCGGAGGAATGATACATGCGGGCATAGCGGCTTGACTCTGGCACTTGCCAGAAAAACTGTAGGGAGGGTACATGGGGAGGTTACGCAAAGCCGGAGAGCTAGAGGAGACAGGTTGGGAGTCAGCAGGATAAGGCTTAGCGGCTGGGCTCTGGCGCTCTGACGCTCTGACGTCCCAACAGAAAGAAATGCTTCAAACGCTGGAAGCCCCTCGTGCTTCTCACTCTCGCAGGGCTGACTCTTCCCACATAGTTGCTTCATACCGTGATCCAGCACGGCTGTTGGGGCTGTAGATGACAGGACTCCTCACGTCCCCACCAGCATACGTCTGCTTGAGCCCCTGAAAGCCCCTCCTGCCTCCGTTGCAGATCAGGACGGTGCCGTCCAATAGGAGCACAGCATCTGGCATGACACTGCTCGGGCTCAGGGGGGCGTAGGGGAGAAGAGGTAAGTGGGGGGGGAGGGGGAGGTGGAAGGGGGGGTTGTGGGGGGGAAGGGAGTGAGAGCAGGGGGGTTGCGTTTTGGAACAGCGGAGCTGAACAATCGTTAGAGACCTGGAAGCCCTCTGTCCCCTGTTGCAGATCAGGACCGAGCATCCAATAGAAGCACGGCATGTGGCATGGCACTAGTCATGGGGGGCGTAGGGGAGGGAGAAGAGGAAAGTGGGGGGGTGGGGGGGGGGGAGAAGGGGGGGTGTGTGGGGGGGGGGGAAGGGAGTGAGAGCGGAGGGGTGGCGCTCTGGACTAGTTAAGTCATGCGTTCCAGTATCGCAGGGTGTTTTTGAGTAGACTCAAAAGTCATGCGTTCCAGTATCGCAGGGTGTTTTTGAGTAGACTCAAAAGTCATGCGTTCCAGTATCGCAGGGTGTTTTTGAGTAGACTCAAAAGTCATGCGTTCCAGTATCGCAGGGTGTTTTTGAGTAGACTCAAAAGTCATGCGTTCCAGTATCGCAGGATGTTTTTTAGTAGACTCAAAAGTCATGCGTTCCAGTATCGCAGGGTGTTTTTGAGTAGACTCAAAAGTCATGCGTTCCAGTATCGCAGGGTGTTTTTGAGTAGACTCAAAAGTCATGCGTTCCAGTATCGCAGGGTGTTTTTGAGTAGACTCAAAAGTCATGCGTTCCAGTATCGCAGGGTGTTTTGAGTAGACTCAAAAGTCATGCGTTCCAGTATCGCAGGGTGTTTTTGAGTAGACTCAAAAGTCATGCGTTCCAGTATCGCAGGGTGTTTTTGAGTAGACTCAAAAGTCATGCGTTCCAGTATCGCAGGATGTTTTTTAGTAGACTCAAAAGTCATGCGTTCCAGTATGCAGGGTGTTTTTGAGTAGACTCAAAAGTCATGCGTTCCAGTATCGCAGGGTGTTTTTGAGTAGACTCAAAAGTCATGCGTTCCAGTATCGCAGGGTGTTTTTGAGTAGACTCAAAAGTCATGCGTTCCAGTATCGCAGGGTGTTTTTGAGTAGACTCAAAAGTCATGCGTTCCAGTATCGCAGGGTGTTTTTGAGTAGACTCAAAAGTCATGCGTTCCAGTATCGCAGGATGTTTTTTAGTAGACTCAAAAGTCATGCGTTCCAGTATCGCAGGGTGTTTTTGAGTAGACTCAAAAGTCATGCGTTCCAGTATCGCAGGGTGTTTTTGAGTAGACTCAAAAGTCATGCGTTCCAGTATCGCAGGGTGTTTTTGAGTAGACTCAAAAGTCATGCGTTCCAGTATCGCAGGGTGTTTTTGAGTAGACTCAAAGTCATGCGTTCCAGTATCGCAGGGTGTTTTTGAGTAGACTCAAAAGTCATGCGTTCCAGTATCGCAGGGTGTTTTTGAGTAGACTCAAAAGTCATGCGTTCCAGTATCGCAGGGTGTTTTGAGTAGACTCAAAATCATGCGTTCCAGTATCGCAGGGTATTTTTGAGTAGACTCAAAAGTCATGCGTTCCAGTATCGCAGGGTGTTTTTGAGTAGACTCAAAAGTCATGCGTTCCAGTATCGCAGGGCGTTTTTGAGAATTCTAGAACGCACCCTATAAGCACAGCATCTGGAATGGCACTGCTCACGGAGATATGGGGGGGTCAAGAGTGATATGGGGGGGTCAACAGAGATATGGGGGGGTCAACAGAGATATGGGGGGGAGGAGGCGGGGGACGAGTGGGGGAGATGGGCGGATGGGTGAAAGGGGAAGAGGACAAAATTACAGAGGAAAAAAACTCATCGGGGCACCGGCAGGCATGATCTGGTAGGACCATCTAGGGGTGGGCGGGGTGCATGGGAGCAGTGAGCCCACAGCAGGGGCAGGGCCAGGGGCAGGGGCAGGGCCAGGGCCAGGGGTCTATTTTTGAGGCGCCTAAAAAATAGACTCCTCACGCAGGGGCAGGGGCAGTGGCAGCACACCCAATACACGGCCCTGTCTGCTTGAAAGGCAACATACACTTGTGTTTGTAGAACCACCTCAGCAGCACTCACGGGGGCACGGGTAGGCATGATCTGGTAGGACCATCTAGGGGTGGGCGGGGTGCATGGGAGCAGTGAGCCCACCCACCGCAGTGGCAGTGGCAGTGGCAGAGGCAGCGGCCGGGGCAGTGGCAGATGCAAGAGTAGCACCGTTGGTTGGACTTATGGTGCCTGTCACATAGCACTAATCACCTAGCTGCTGGCATGATTTCATAGGTCCATTTAGGGTTTCGATCCATGGGAGCAACGAGGCCACACGTCGCAGTGGCAGGAGCTGGGGCAACACAACCAAGAGTGTAGAAACTGTGGCTATCAGCACTTTTAATACTCACCAAGTCACGGGCATGACTTCACAGGTCCACTTAGGTTCGGGACCCAAGGGAGAAATGAGCCCACACCTCGCCGTGTCAGGGGCAACACAGCCAGGAGTGTAAATAATGTGGCTATGAGCAGTAAAACCACTCACCGAGCAACAGGCATTATTTCATAGGTCCACTTGGGGTTCCGATCCATGGGGCGATGAGCCCACACGTGGCAGTGGCAGGGGCAGCACACCCAAGACACGCCCCCGTCCGGTTGTCCCGATTAGCCAGGTCCGCCTTGCTGCTGCTGCCCCGCAGATGAGGATCCTGGGAGTGTAGCCGTCGGCTGGGGAGGGCCAACAGACGAATGGGGTTGGGGGAAGGCTTCGTGGGATGGGAGGTAGCAACCAGCACAGGCACAGCAGCGGCACCCAAGGCATGCCCTACGCGATTGCCACGATTCGCCAGGTCTGCCTCGATGCTGCTGCCCCCGTAGATGAGTTTATTTTTGAGGCGCCTCAAAATTCGATGCTGCTGCCCCCGCAGATACCACATACATGATGATAGTTGTGGCACAGCTGAAGAGTGGTGAGGCAACCTGAGGAGAGCTGTAGCATGGCAGGGGAGCCAGTGACGGGGTAGGACCGTAGGAGCGGAGCATGCTAGTGCTGGCGTTGCGGCGCCCCAACCAAACCTTGCCTGTAATGCAGATACCTGTCCTGGCTGCTGCGAGGCGCTGACGAAAATACCTAAGGAGAGCTGTAGCATGGCGGACGAGCCAGTGACGGGGTAGGAGCGGCTTGAGGTGACTCACTATGTACCAGTCAGCCGAGGTGACTCACTATGTACCAGTCAGCCGCAAGTGTGCTTACCTGAGGAGAGCTGTAGCATGGCGGACGAGCCAGTGACGGGGTAGGAACGGAAGATGTTGGCGTTGGTTGGGCCGAAGCGAGAGACGTCCAGAGGGGGAAGCGTGCGATAAACCTGAAATGGGAACCAAGGGACGGGGGAGAAAGGGGGGGGGTAAAGGAATGGCTGGTTGGGGGATGGAGACCGGAAGAGCCAGTGATGGGATAGGAGCGGAAGATGTTGGCGTTGGCGGGGCCGAAGGGCAGAAAGTGGCACAGCTGAAAGTGGCACAGAAAGTGAGGAGTCTATTTTTGAGGCGCCTCAAGGGCTGAAAGATGGCAGATGTTGGCGCTGGCGGGACCCCGGAGATCGGGATGGCAGGGAGGGCGAGAGGCGCAGTGCAGTGGAGAATGAAGGAGGAAGCGAGAGATGTCCAGGGGGGGCAGCGAGCTGTACGCCTGAAACAGGGGAGGCAGAGGCGAACGTGATACTATGCATAAGTCTGCAATGCTCACTGCAATACTCACTGCAATACTCACTGCAATGCACACTGCAATACTCACTGCAATGCTCACTGCAATGCTCACTGCAACACTCAGTGCAATACTCACTGCAATACTCACTGCAATATTCACTGCAATACTCACTGCAATATTCACTGCAATACTCACTGCAATATTCACTGCAATACTCACTGCAATATTGTGCTTGTGCTGTAGTGGAGGAGAATCGCGCATTGCCCCGCAAATACGAAAAGGTGGCCGGAGGGCAGCAGGGAGGGAAACCCAACAATCCCGGGTGTGTTACACCCTGCGTTGCTTAGTGTAACTCTACAACTTACTGAGTTTGTGGTGTAGTTGAGGAGAATTGCCTGCTGCCCCGCAAATATGAACAGGTGTCCAGAAGGCAGCAGGTGCACAAATGGGTAGAGGTTGTAGGGCAGAGTTTCTTCCAGAAAGCGCAGCTTGTAGTTGCCTGGGGTAAGGGCGGGTCAGGGGAGTCTAAGGGTTGGGAACAGGGAGGTAGCCAGAAGGCAGCAGGTGCACGAAGGGGTTGTGGTTGTAGGGCAGAGTCTCTTCCAGAAAGCGCACAGCTTGTAGTTGCCTGTGATTTGGGGAGGTGGGTATGGTGCAGGTGGGAACAGGGGTGGGTGGGAACGTCATGAGCTCTTACCATCAGGCAAAAGCTCGGATGTCTGGTACCACTGCTTGGTTGCTTGGGTCTCACAGCACAGCTGCTACCAGGGCGACGTCCCAAACGCTACCAGAGAGAAACGTGCCCCCCCTTACCCCAGTCCCTCACCTTCTCTCTGGTAGTCAGGACGGAGAAGGTGAGGGACCCTCTCTCTGGGAGAAATCCCTCACCTTTTGGCGAAGTCCCTCACCTTCTGGCGAAGTCCCCCTCCCCCAGTTCGTAACCTTCGCCATCCCTTTCTCGGCCAGAATGAACGATTCATAGGAACGAGTTGATGGCCACGTCACGTTGCATTGCAAAACACATTGGCGTCTCCAACCCATGATGAACATCCGCACGTCGGGCAGCAGCTGGGGGGCTCAGCTGAGCCGTGGGGTACCAGCGCCTGGAGGTCATCTTCCCTACCAACTCTGTAGCCCAGCGCACTCCAGCCTCCAGCCTCCCAACACACGTGCAAGCAACCAGCCAGCCCTGAACAAGCATTCCTCACCTTCTGCTTCCTTCCTCGGCCAAAATTCGTAGGTGGGGTTGTTGTCTCGAAAGGAATTGATAGCCACATTGCCAAAGACGTTGGCGCCTCCAATGACGAATATCCGCCCGTCTGGAAGCAGCTGAGCCGTGGGGTACCAGCGCTTGGAGGTCATCTTCCCTACCAGGGAGAAATCGCAGCTATTGTTGCTGCTGCTGCTGTTTTTGGCAGCAGTATTGGCAGCAGCAGCAGCAGCAGCAGGGGGGCAGGGAGTGAAGGAGCGGATGGAGGCAGCCCCGTCGAGGAGAGGGTCGGCCAGGTTGGTGGCGTTGGCGTCTGACGTGCCGCCGATGCTGATGAGCCGACCGTATTGGTCGATGGCACCTGGAGGAGTAAAGAAGGTAAGCAGGCAAGGGGCAGCAGGCAAGGGGCAGCAGGCAAGGGGCAGCAGGCAAGGGGCAGCAGGCAAGGGGCAGCAGGCAAGGGGAAGCAGGCAAGGGGAAGCAGGGAAGGCAGCAGAGAAGAGAGTGGAGGGGGTTGTTGGAAACCCCTCCATCCACGGAGTGGGTCGGGCGATAGACCTCTCAGGGAGTGAAGGAGCATAGGAAGGCAGCCCTGTCGAGAAGAGGGTCGGCAAGGTTGGTGGCGTTGGCGTCTGACATGCCTCCGATGCTGATGAGCCGGCCATATTGGTCTATGGCTCTTGGTGTTGTGGGAGTGCAGTTTGAGCCGACTCAAAATACACCTATGGCTCCTGGTGTTGTGGGAGTGGGGGTGGAGGTATGAGCAACAAGGGGTGGGTTACGAAGCCGGAAGGGGATGGAGGGCTAGGTTGGTGAAGAGTAGTAGGCGTCTGTCATACCTCCTGTGGGGATGACACGACCCCAGGGGTCGATGGCTCCTGGTGATGGGAAGCCCGGAGGTTCGAAGGAGAGTGGCAAGGAGGAAGAACAGGCTTCACTAGCATGACTAGCGTTGACTAGCGTTGATTCATGTTGACTTGCGTTGACTAGCGTTGACTTTCACTGAACTGTGGAGCGGAAGACTACGTCCAGAGCCCTGAGAGACCTTGGAGGTCATTCGCCCTACCATCAATAGTCAAACCCCAGGCCAGCATTGACCAGTGTTGACCAGCATTGACTCGCACTGACCTGCAGAGCAGAAGACATTGGACTTGACGTCAAGAGCCCTGAGGGACCTCGATTCGAAGCTGTACTCCTCCGCATATGCCGTCTGGAAGGGCGGGGGGAAAGAGGGCGGGGGGAAAGAGGGCGGGGGGAAAGAGGGCGGGGGGAAAGAGGGCGGGGGGAAAGAGGGCGGGGGAAAGAGGGCGGGGGGAAAGAGGGCGGGGGGAAAGAGGGCGGGGGGGGGGGGGGGGGGGGGGGGTGAGAGGGGAAGAAGGGGGGATAGGCAGGGGAGGGGACAGATGGGGATCTTCGTGATGGGGGAAGAGCACAAGACATTGGACTTCACGCCCAGAACCCTGAGCGATCTCGATTCGAAGCTGTACTCCTCTGCGTATGCTGTCTGGGGGCCGGGGAAACGGGGATTGATGAGAGCAGATACTAGGTAGGTGCAACGGGGTAGGTGAGAGCAGATACTAGGTAGGTGCAACGGGGTAGGTGAGAGCAGATACTAGGTAGGTGCAACGGGGTAGGTGAGAGCAGATACTAGGTAGGTGCAACGGGGTAGGTGAGAGCAGATACTAGGTAGGTGCAACGGGGTAGGTGAGAGCAGATACTAGGTAGGTGCAACGGGGTAGGTGAGAGCAGATACTAGGTAGGTGCAACGGGGTAGGTGAGAGCAGATACTAGGTAGGTGCAACGGGGTAGGTGAGAGCAGATACTAGGTAGGTGCAACGGGGTAGGTGAGAGCAGATACTAGGTAGGTGCAACGGGGTAGGTGAGAGCAGATACTAGGTAGGTGCAACGGGGTAGGTGAGAGCAGATACTAGGTAGGTGCAACGGGGTAGGTGAGAGCAGATACTAGGTAGGTGCAACGGGGTAGGTGAGAGCAGATACTAGGTAGGTGCAACGGGGTAGGTGAGAGCAGATACTAGGTAGGTGCAACGGGGTAGGTGAGAGCAGATACTAGGTAGGTGCAACGGGGTAGGTGAGAGCAGATACTAGGTAGGTGCAACGGGGTAGGTGAGAGCAGATACTAGGTAGGTGCACGGGGTAGGTGAGAGCAGATACTAGGTAGGTGCAACGGGGTAGGTGAGAGCAGATACTAGGTAGGTGCAACGGGGTAGGTGAGAGCAGATACTAGGTAGGTGCAACGGGGTAGGTGAGAGCAGATACTAGGTAGGTGCAACGGGGTAGGTGAGAGCAGATACTAGGTAGGTGCAACGGGGTAGGTGAGAGCAGATACTAGGTAGGTGCAACGGGGTAGGTGAGAGCAGATACTAGGTAGGTGCAACGGGGTAGGTGAGAGCAGATACTAGGTAGGTGCAACGGGGTAGGTGAGAGCAGATACTAGGTAGGTGCAACGGGGTAGGTGAGAGCAGATACTAGGTAGGTGCAACGGGGTAGGTGAGAACAGATACTAGGTAGGTGCAACGGGGTAGGTGAGAGCAGATTCTAGGTAGGTGCAACAGGATAGGTGAGAGCAGATACTAGGCTTGAAACCCACAGCTCTGAGTGACCTTGCGTCAAAGCTATACTCCTCTGCGAATGCTGTCTGAAAGAGAGGGGCAGATGGGGGACTTCTTGAAACAAGTGTGATGGAGTGAGGGAGCAGCTGCTAGACTTGATACCCAGAGCTCTGACCTTTGAGTCGACTCAAAGGTCATTTTGAGTCGACTCAAAAGCAGACTTGATACCCAGAGCTCTGACCTCGTGTTGTGTCAAAGCAAACGGAGCACTGGTGTCTTTTGAGGCGCCTCAAAAGGCAGATGCTAGACTAGACACCCACAGCTCTGAGCGACCTCGTGTTGTGTCAAAGCAAACGGAGCACTGGTATGGGCAAATCCTCTTGCTCGTCCGCTTGGGAGGTTATCTTTTAGGCGCCTCAAAACCCGATATTGCTTTGTCTAACTCACAGAGACCGACCCCTTGTGTGGCCTTGTGCATGTGACAAAGCAATCAGAGCACTTGCGAGAGAAAACCCAATTACTTTCCGCTTGGGAGGTTATCTTCTAGGCCCTCAAAACCCGAGATTGCTATGTCTGTCTGTCTCACAGAGAGCTCGACCCCTTGTGAAGCCTTGTGGTTGCGACAAGGCAATCGGATCACGTGTGAGAAAAAAGCCCACTTACTCTTCCGTTTGGCAGCTTGGCATAAGTGTTGCTGACGTCCGTGCGATCTATATAAAGGATCGTCTTATAGTGAGTCAGAGCAGTGTGGATGCCTGACACCTGGAGCAGACCAGGGAACAGAGCATAGAAATCAAAATGAAAATCAATAAGCAGCACATTAGAGAATGAAGGATCATGTCATAGCGAGTCAGAGCAGTGTGGATGTCTGACACCTGGGTGATAAAGCAGGGGAAAGAGCAGTACAGGGCGAAGAAGAGGATAGTAATACATTTGCAAGAAACATGTTATAAAGAGTCCGAGCTGTGTGGACCTCGCCCTACCTCATCCCAGTCTTGCCCCACTCACCCGGATCTTGCCCTTCTTGTGGAAGTACTTCGGATTGGGCTGCTGGGCTGCAGCTGGGGCCAAGACGCTGGCCTTGTGTGACTAGTACAGAAATAAACCATTCCCATCCCAACCTTTCCCCACTCACCCAGATCTTTCCCCACTCACCCCAACCTTGCCCCACTCACCCGGATCTTGCCCATCTCGTAGAAGTACTTCGGCTTGGGCTGCTGCGCTGCAGCCGGGGAGGAGAGGGAGATGCTGCTGCTGTGCTGGGGAAACCAGCAGAGCCAGCAGCACCAGCTGCACCAAACGCACTGGAAGAATTAGGGGAATCAGCAACACCGCCACTAGCTGGCGCTACAGCAGGAGATGGCGCTACAGCAGGAGATGGCGCTACAGCAGGAGATGGCGCTACAGCAGGAGATGGCGCTACAGCCGGGGACGGCGCTACAGCCTTGTATGTGGCGTTGATCACAGGCTTGCCTGATGGTTCCATAGATGAGTCGCCTGATGCTGGTGTTTGCAGTGAGCCTTGCTGCGATTTCATGCTGACGTGGCGGCCAGCTGGTGCTCCAGATGAACCTGGACTCGCAGGTGATCTTGATCCAGGTGTTACTGGAGCAGGTGCTTTCTGTCCAGGTGCTTTTGAAGCAGGTGGCTTCTGACCAGGCATCATTGGAGCAGGTGGTTTTTGTCCAGGTGTTTTTGAAGGAGGTGGTTTCTGACCAGGCGTTCTTGGAGCAGGTGGTTTCTGGCCAGCGTCATTTGAGCAGGTGGCTTCAGTGGAGTTTCCGCTGGAGATTTGGGTCTGCCTGACGCCCTACTCACACGCCTTCCCCTACTCTCCTCCTCCTCCGACTTTCATCATTTGCACATCCCACCGCGGTGCACAGACGCTTCTTCGCCTTCAATAAGCCAGTCACTACCTTGCCTCTCTTCGATCTGCTTCTCTTTCCCTTGCTCCTCTTCCCCTTGCTCTCTTCCCCTTGCTCCTCTTCACCTTGCTCCTCTTCCCCTTGCTCCTCTTCCCCTTGCTCCTCTTCCCCTTGCCCCTCCGTCCCTTCCCACAGCCCTCCTCGCCTCTCCTTGTCTTATGCGGACGCAGCCATCGCAGCAACGGTTGTGATGATGACGTGGAGCACGTACATTGACTGGATCCACGTGGCCATTTCCTGAGGGAACCTATCTGGCTCGCCAATCCCCATGGGAGCCTGCGTGGCCGTTGCTTCAACTTCCCTGCGCCGGTATGATGATTTCCTTTAGTAATAGAGAAATGTCCTGCGCCGGTATGATGATCCCTTATACTAGAACCAGAAAGCCTGGCCGATTTGTTGAACAGTGCGATGTCAGGTGATTTAAGTGATGAACCCTTGGAAACGGCGGCTCCTGATGCAGGGCTAGCAGACGCCTGGACAGACGCACCAGACCCACCAGGCGCACCAGATGCACTGGTTTCAGCAGCCTCCTCTTTGTGGGAGCCTGCTCCTGCTGCCGCCACTGCTGCTGATGCTACTGCAGCAGACCATGCAGCAATCAGAAGCAAGTGAAGGAGAAGGCACAAGGGGCGTTGACGCCCATTCCGCCGGCCTTGCACTATCATGTGCCGTCCTTGCATGGTCTGCTGCAGCGCACGCATCACGACCGCCGGCGACTGATTCGTGGAAGTAGTAGTCACGAACTCCGAGTTCAGTGCAATTCGCTCTGAGTCAGTCAGTGCAATTTCCCGCACTGGCGTTTCCCCAGAAGCAGCCTTAGTCAGGCCGGATGGATATAACGCTGTCAGTTTCCACGAGAGTTTCCACGAGACGCTGCTTCACTGGCAGCAAAGCCGAGGAGAATTCTCACACTGAGAAGAGAATAGTTCTGACAAGTCTAAAAATAAGGCTGGCCAATGATGGGGTTGCCAGTCCTTATAGACTCTAGAGATTCAGAACCCTTACTATCATCAGGATTGTGACTCTGGTCGAGGTGGTTAGATTCCGAAATGAGCTATTTCAGCAAAGTAACTTGGGAGCCCCGTTGCCGCAACGAGCAGGCTGCTCTCTTTTCTAGCAGATTCCGTGCCTTTATTCTAGAGGACTCAGCAGCGTGAATCCACCGACACGCGGATGACACGAGCCGTGACAATACCGGCCGTGACAGTAAAGAACGACCGCCTGGCGCAGCCAGGGTGCTAATGCGTAGCGCCAGACAGTTCACGCGAGGAGCTACCATCATGCTACACGAGTTGAAGGCGAGGTGGCGAGGCGAGGCGAGAGCGCAGGTGAAGTGACGACGAATCCAGCAAGGCGAGGGAAAAGGATCCGAGCGAGCGAACAATCGGGCAGAAAACGCGACAGCAAGGAAAGGAAAGGAATCTGAAACGGGCCGTCGGTCGGACACAGGGGTGGCTGGTAGGAGGCTCCTGGAAGAGAAAATAGTAGAGGTGGTAAGTGAAAATGTCTGGTGACAGACGAGCTAGGAATGCAAGGTGACAACTTTAGGGCGTGTAGCCTACGGTTTCGTGGGCCCAAAACCGGAACTGGGTTCCGTCACCGTTAGACGCCAGTTCCGTTGCGCACGGAGCCCCGAGTTTCTAAACTCGCATTCGCAATCTGTCTGCGGACGGAACGTCGGAGTTCCGATTCTCGAAGTTCCAACATTCAGAAGTTTGAACGAAAGCAAAACCCACCCCCGCGAAATGATGAAAACAACGACTTCGCATCCAATGAAAAAACAAGACAAATTTGGCCAGTGCCAGTTTCTTGCCCGCGAATGGTCAATATGGCGTGTGGCGTAATGGCATCGTCGTGATGTTCGTTATTTTTCGCGGGAGTAGCATTGGCTTTTCGCTCAGAACTGGCAGGAGAGTTTCAAACAGACCTCCAGACGACCGCCCGGCAGGTGTAGAACCTCGAGTTCCGGAATTCGTGAATCCTTCGCGAGACTGCTGGCGAAAATGAAAGCGAGCAGTGCTGCATTTTGTAGCTTTTTCGCCCGCGGACAGAACTCAGTTCCGAAACCGTAGGACACACGCCCTTACTGGTGGTGTCAGAAAATGCTCAGATGAACTTGAAAACTGTCAGGCGATTTTGGCAGAAAATAGGAGCCAGACAAATTACTCGACATTGACTTCATCTATATCATCGCTGGCACAGCTGAGATGAGTTGTGTTCGCATGTGCAATATTTGAAATTAGAATGGGTAAAGCCACCATCTTCAAGCAATCTTACAGAATATACATGCTACTGAAGATGGCTTGAGGTTCTTTTTGGGGCTTCTACCCATCCAGTGATTACTGAAAAGTGGTTAACAGGAAGAAAACGATATTTTGTACTAGCACCCCCTCCCCTCCCCTATAGAGATTTGTAAAATATCATGCATGCCTCCATATATGCATATGGCGAATTAAAGCGAGCAGACAGACCAAAATCAAGATTCAAAGACTTTGAATCTTGAGTTGGGGGTAGCGAAAATGCGAGGGGCACAAGTGTCGCAAAAATGGGCGGCCCCACGCGAAACGCGAGGGCCTCGCGACGACTGAAATGGTCTCGCCAAAACTGGCGAGGTCGTAAGGGTACAGCGGGCGACGCTGTCAAACATGTTTATTTATCATGTTTGTATAGACCGTATAGGGTAACCTCCTAGAGGGTACAACATTTAGGTATATGTGCATGTACTCTCTCTCACTAATCAATCATTAAATTCTAGTTTTGAGATGGTATCACGCGTAGGTTTCGACCCCCCCCCCCCCCCCCCCCCCCACCTACCGCTTCCGCCCTTATCGTCGCGTCTCCTAGCCTAGCCTCGCCCCTCCTGAGCCCAGTCGCGACCCCCCCCCCCCTAGCCCCGTCGTTCTCCTCTCAGGCCCCGTCGCGCCCCTTCCAGGGCTTCGTCGCGCCCCTGCTGGGCTTGGTAGCGCCCCTCCCAGGCCCCCGTCGCGCTTCTCCCTGGGCCCCGTAGCGCCCCTCCTGGGCCCCGTAGCGCCCCTCCAAGCCCCGTCGCGCCCCCCCCCCTCCAGGGCTTCGTAGCGCCCCTCCTGGGCTTTGTCGCGCCCCTCCTGGGCTTGGTAGCGCCCCTCCCAGGCCCCCGTCGTGCCCCTCCCTGGGCCCCGTCGCGCCCCTCCTGGGCCCCGTCGCGCCCCCCCAGGGCCCTGTCGTGCCCCTCCTGGGCCCCGTCGAGCCCGCTCGGCCCCGTCGCCCCAGCTCGGCCCCGTCGCGGCCGCTCGGCCCCGTGGCGCCCGCCCGGCCCCTGTCGCAGCCGCCCGGCCCCGTCGCAGCCGCCCGGCCCCGTCGCAGCCGCCCCCGCGCCCCCGTCGCAGCCGCCCGGCCCCGTCGCAGCCGCCCGGCCCCTGTTGCAGCCGCCCGGCCTCGTCGCTGCCACCCGGCCCCGTCGCAGCCGCCCGGCCCCGTCGCAGCCGCCCGGCCCCGTCGCAGCCGCTCGGCCCCGTCGCGTCTGCCTGGCCCCTCGTTGCGCCTGCCCAGCCCCGTCGCGCCTGCCCGGCCCCGTCGCGCCTGCCCGGTCCCGTCGCGCCTGCCCCGGCCCTACATACTTCCCGGTACTGTCCCCCCTTCCCTGCTCCGCCTTGCACCGCATTGCCCCTCACTGGACCGCACTGCACCGCACTGCACCGCACTGCATCGCTCTGCACCGCACTGCACTGCCCTGCATCGCACTGCACCGCACTGCCCTGCACTCCAACGTCCTACACTGCCCCTGATGGCTGCTGAGCTTCGTTTTGATGCTGAGGGCCAGCCTCTGAAGTTCGAGGCGTGGCTGGCTGACCTTCGCCGCCACCTCACTGGTCAGCGGCAGGACGGCCACCCGCTTTCCGCCCACCTAGACGGTATGCTCCCCTGCCCTGACCCCCCTGCTGTGCTGCCCGCTGATCCCACGCCCGCTGAGCGCGAGTCCACTGCCGCCGCTGCCCTTGCCCGCTCTGTCTGGCTTTCCCGCGATGCCCTTGCTCAGCTCGCCATTAGCAATGCCCTCCCCCCCCCTGAGCGCCCTCGCTTTAGAACCATTACTACCGCCCAGGCCTACCTCGATGCTGTCATCAAGCGCTATTCTACCCCTCCTGCTGCCTCAGTGGGTCGCCTGATCCTCCCCCTGCTCTTTCCTGACCTTGCGTCTTTCCCCACTGTCTCTGACCTAGCTGCCCACCTGCGCTCGATAGATGAGACCTGGCGCGCTGCCTGCACTGATGCACAGCTTAGAGCCCACCAGCCCCCCATGACCTCCACCCTCTACCTCCTTGCCACTCGCCTCCCTGACCGCCTTGCCGCCGCCCGCGACCAGTTCCTTAGCATCCACCCCGCTGCGCTCACCCTCACCGACTTTGTTGACACCCTGACTGTTATAGAGACTCGTCACCGCTCCGTCGCCCAGGCGAGCGGTACCGTACCGGTCCCTATCTTTCAGGGTTGTGCCCCCGCTCAGTGTACCTTCTCCGACGGCTCTGTCGCTGTGGCTGAGACTGCTGCTGCAGTGCAGTCCCGCTCGGGGAAGGGCCGCCGCCCCAAGGTTGGGAGCGGCGGAGGCGGCGGGGGTGCCGGTGGGGGTGGTGGTGGAGTCGGATCGTCCGGTGCCGGAGCGGACGTGGGGACCCTGCCCAGTCCAGCTGCCCCGCTGCCTCCACAGTCGCAGCAGCAGCAGCAGCAGTCGCCGCAGCCGCAGCCTCCGCAGCAGCTGCAGCACCCGCCGCAGACGAGGCAGGCGAGTGCCCTCCCGCCTGGGTGGCCTGGAGCTGGTGGTGGTCGTGCGCGTGGTGGTGCGCCGGGTGGTGGTTCTGGAGGCGGGCGCTGTCAGTACCAGATCCAGACCGGTCCTCGCCGCGGCTTCGTTTGCGGTAAGATCGGTCATTCCACTCCTCGCTGTTTTCGTCGTCTGGACGACCTGTTCCGTCAGCGCTTTGGCCCGGCGCCCGACCTCCCGGACTGGCACAGCTTGCTTAGGCGTAGCATTCAGATTTTTGACTTGGACATGGATGCCATTGTAGCAGCCTTGCATGTGATGTATGCTGATGACTCTAGTGTGCTTCCCTCTTATTACCCCGTGTTGCCTAGTGTAGATGTTCCTAGCGTAGACTCCCCTGCTGCGTCAGGCGTAGGATCTCCTGCTTTGCTTAGCCTCGGTGCTTCCACCGCTTCTCTGCCGCCTCGCGCGACTGCTGCGCTTTCCTTCACCTTGGACTCTGGCGCCTCCCGGTGTTTCTTCCGCGACTCCACGACGCTGACGCCGTTGCCTGTTCCCGCTGCAGTTACTCTTGCTGACCCCTCCGGTGGTCCAGTCGTTGCCCGCAGTTCCACCTCCCTTCCCTGTCCGGCGGTTCCTTCAGTTTCGCTCACAGGTCTGCATCTCCCCTCGTTCTCCAGGAACCTAGTTGGTGTCGGCTGCCTCCAGGACCTTGGCGTCACCACTACGTTCCCTGGTCACGAGCGGTATGCTGTCTGTACCGAGGCCGCCACTGGTGCCCCCCTTACCACTTTCCCCCGGGACCCGGTGTCCGGCCTGTTCACACTTGACACCGCGACTTTCCTGGCTGGGTCTTCCCCCCAGGTCGCTGCGTCCACCCAGGTTGCTGCTGCGTGCTCCTGTCGGTCCCTCACTCACCCGACTCTCCTTTGGCACCACCGCCTTGGTCACCCTGCACTCCCGCGTCTGCGTCACATGTCCCAGCAAGGTCTCGTCCTTGGTCTCCCCGGTTCGTTCCCCGAGTTTCCCTCCTCCCCCGCCCCCCCGTGCACGCCTTGTGTCGAGGGCCGGCTCCGCCGTGCCCCTCACTCCTCCTCGTTTCCCCCTACCACCGCACCACTGCAGACTCTGCACATGGACGTCTGGGGCCCAGCCCCCGTCCATGGGCCGCGTCGCGAGCGCTTCTTCATAGTGCTTGTCGACGACTTCACGTGCTACACCACCGTCTTTCCCCTGGAGCGGAAGGCCGACGTGCCTAACGTTCTCATCCCCTGGCTTGTCTCTGCTCGTGTCCACCGTGGTCTCCCTGCCTTGCGCCTCCACTCCGACCGCGGTGGCGAGTTTGCCTCAGGTGTCCTTGGTCGCTTCTGTCGTGCGGAGGGCATCACCCAGACGTTTACCCTGCCGGACTCCCCGCAGCAGAATGGGGTCGCTGAGCGACGCATCGGTTTGGTCATGGAGGTGGCTCGCACCTCCATGATCCACGCCGGTGCACCCAATTTTCTGTGGCCGTTCGCCGTGCGCTACGCTGCTCACCAGCTTAACCTGTGGCCGCACCCCCAGCGGCCGCAGGTTTCGCCGACCCTTCTGTGGACCGGGTCCCCTGGTGACGCGTCTGCGTTCCACGTCTGGGGCTGCCTTGCTCACGTTCGTGCCTCTGGCACGGACAAGC